TAATGTACTAGCAGTAGAACCCGGCGTTGCCCGGGGATGTAACAGTAAGAGATAGATCAAGTATCGACCATCATAAAGACTGAAAAATAACATTGACAAAGATTATTGTTTAAGGTTGACGGACACGCATGTCTTAATTAGTTTTTTTTTTGTTTTGCTTTTTTTTTTTTTTACGAATTGGTCAAACCCAAACAAAAACATTGTTTTCAATCGTTATGAGTCTATCGATTGAATAGAATTTTATTATAAACAATTGTCTTGTAAATGGAATTTTAAAAGCATTCTGAATGTAAAAATAAAGAAAAAGTGTGCAAGACAATAAGAAACACTACCTGCCAAAAAAAGAGAAGTTTTGTTGAAATCGGTTGAAAAATGTAGGAAATCCGATCCCATATATAAACGAACACACGCATACAAACAACTTGGGTTTTTAGCATAACTCGATATGATTTGTCCCCCTTTCATTCTCGCGATGCCTCTTAATCGTGTTTTCAAATTGATTTCATGTAAAACCAATTGTGTTTTTCCAATTTTGTCAGAACCACCGCAAGGTAATTTTACGTAGTCCTGTGAAGTTTTGTTGAAATCGGTTGAAAAATGTAGGAAATCCGATCCAATATATAAACGTACACACACACACACACACACACACACACACACACACACACACACACACACACACACAACCTGGGTTTTATAATAAGTATGATGTATGTTCTGGTTACCTGAACAATTGCAGTAGTGTGAAGTTTTTCTGAACTTTGTCCCTTTTTGAGAAGTGTCACTGGGTAGTGTATTTCTTCTGTCTTGCTCATTTAAACATAGAGCACTCTCTTTTACTGTTTATGTCGGTGTCACCGTTTGATGTTTTCTTCTTATTATACAGTGTGCGATGGGCTAATCGTTGTCTAAATTAAGCAAAAATGAAAATAACACTGACATCATTTTAACAGATATATTTACCAAAATTACACAAAAAGTATCTTCAAATACTAAAGAGTAATTTTATTCAATAAAATCACCATTGGTTTCAACCACGGCCTCCAGACGACATCGGAAACTCATGCAACTCTTCTAGACGGTCTCCTTGTTTAAGTTGGTGAAAGCAGCCATAATCCTTCATCTTTGTTCTCTTGCGCAACTGCACCCCACACATAATAATAAAGTGGGTTGCAGTCTGGGGAGTTAGGTAGCCAGACGTAAGAGGTGATATGGTCGCAGAAATTGTCTGACAGCCATGACTGAGTTCTCTTATCTGCATGGTGCAGAGTCCTGTTGCCAGGGTCTTCCAGCAGCCACCCTGTTGACTCAGAACAGTACTACTTCCTCAAGACACTTTCTGGCTTAGCTTCATGGTGATCTTTTCCTCACAGACAGTGCCCAACTGACCCAACTATACTGTGCAGTATAGTAGGGTCAGTTGGGCTGTAAAAAGCACAATGCTCAATGTAAAATATAAAAGTACGAATACAGAACAGTATTAATTACATTTACCGGCTTGAATGTTCGCGAAATTTCGTGGAAAATGTGACTGGATGGTAAAATCACGTCAGGTTATATGACGCTTCGCATAAGGGTTACAGGTTCTATTTCTGCATATTTTCTACGAAATTTCTTAAAAACAAAACATTTAGTAAAATAATTTATATATATAAAAATAACATGTAAACAGAATATATATATATATATATATATATATATATATATATATATATATATATATATATATATATATATACGTATGTACATACGGTACTATATATATATATATATACACACATGTTGACAAAAACAAAACTGCTCACGGGCACGCACGCGAACCCTACAGAACATAGGAAGTGTATGTATGTGTGTATGTGTGTGTGTATGGTGGATATGCAATATAATTGGCCCTGTTCTGGCATCTCGTCTACAGTCGCTCTCTCACAGACGCCGTCGCCTCTCTCTCTGTCTGTTTTACAAATACTTTCATGGCAGTTGCTCCGTGGAGCTGCATTCGCTGGTTCCCAGACTTCATGAGTTCAAGCGCCCTACAAGAGGCTGGCATCACGCTCTCACCCTTTCACTGTCGAAACTACTCAATGTAGCCGTCTCTTCTACTCCAATAGCTTCATGTCTCGCACCTCTCGCATGTGGAACTCCCTTCCCTATTCCAGTTTCCCTGAGAGCTATAATCTCCAGCTATTCAAATGTAAAGTCAATCGACATCGCCTTGATCTATCCACTAACCTTCTCCTCATCCTTTCCTCTATCACTTCTATCTGATCTTGCTCCAAATCTTCTGTAACCCCTTCCGTTCTAGTGGCTTCTCGCCTTGCTTGGGGTGAAACGCTTAAAAAAAAAAAAAAAAAAAAGTTTCCGTGTTTGTTAATACCTTGCTTAGCTTTTATTTGTAATGTATACAAGAGGTTTTTCTAAGCTTAGTTTTATACTGCACAAGGCCAAATGAAAGCAACGAAGATTGGATTTCTTCATTCTTCCAAGTGAGGAGGGCCTCCCCGTCAAGAAAATTAGAAAAAATTGGGATTCATCTGGGTTTGAACATTGACCTCTAGCATAGGTACTTTATGTTATTTTAACGATGTGACAAGTCTACCTGTAGTTTATACGAGGGTCATTTTTTCGGTATAAGGACTTCTAATACAGATAGGAGCTTACTTTTTTTTTTGTTTTACTTCTTTTTCACATGGATTTAATTTCTTTTTGCAGACTAAAAAAAAAAACTTTTGGAGTCAGGATGCTGAAAGTAACATCAATCAGCTAAGGGACAAACCTTTTACTCGTATTAATTCTCTCTCTAATATATATATATATATATATATATATATATATATATATATATATATATATATATATATATATATATATATATATATATATATATATATATATATATATATATATATATATATATATATATATATATATACTGATGAGCGGAAAGAGTAATTGCCGGAGTGTCCATTTACGAAACACTGAAGTTAGGATGATGAAAGAAACAATCAATCAGCTATGGGACAAACCTTTTACTTGTATTAATTCTAATTATATATATACATTGAACAATATAGACATATTGTGTCTACTTATTTTTATACTGATTCTTTCCAGTTGTCTAATCAGTTTCTTGATACAAAGATGAAATTCATCAAGTAAGTCACCGTAGTTTTTTAAAACCCAAGTACTTCCGACCTTTCCTAAGATCATCTTCGAGGGTAAATTACAAGGACAAACTTATTGTAACTGCAATAAAATCTGCATTTCGTTCTGATAGTGATTTTCTAAAACACACACACACACACACACACACACACACACACACACACACACATATATATATATATGCACATATATATATATATGCACATATATATATTTGTTCATATCTATCTATCTACTATCTATCTATCTATCTATCTCAGTCTGTTCGTATTATCTATCTATCTATCTATCTATCTATCTCATCTGTTCTATCTATCTATCTATCTATTCGTATTATCTATCTATCTATCTATCTATCTATCTCATCTATCTATCTATCTATCTATCTCATTCTGTCTATTATCTATCTATCTATCTATCTATCTATCTATTGTTAGTATTTTCTAGTCTTCATGGCACCAAGTTACAATTTTCTCAGTCATCTTCTGGCTAATGCACCCGTATATTTTTTCCTTTCACCTTAGTCCCTGTCCTCGCTTCCATTCTTTCTGGTCTATTTGCGGGAATTAGTGTCACGTGACTCAGTCGATCACGTCCGATTATAATGCATCTAAATGAAGGGCCTCGTGACGTCATCTGTTCCTACTACGACTTACCTTGTGGGCCCTCTTCAGTTTTCCTTATTTCTTTTCCTTTTCCTTTTCTTTTTGCCTGTTCTTTTTACCCAATTTTTATCTCTCTATTCTTTCTCTTCTTTCTGTCTACCTTTCTTTTTCTTTTTCTTTTTCTTTCACGTTCTTTAGCTCTTCTTTTCTTCATTCTATTCTCGTTTTTTCTTTTTTCCTTCTTTTCTTTTCTCAGATATTTTTTCCTTATTCTCATATTTTCCTTAATTTTTTTTCATTCTTCTATTCATCAGTTTTCCTCTTTCTATCTTTTACATCCTTATTTCTGAAAAATAAAATCAAAGAACAATCTACGAATGAGAAACGGTGGAACGAAAAAAGGAAACGAAGCAGGTTAGTGGGGAAAGAGCGAGGGAAACGTTCGAATGAATGAAATAAAGAAAGAAAAAAGAAAGAAAATAAACGAAGAAAGCGAAAAGCAAAAGAAAGAGTGATAGGAGAGAGAGAGAGAGAGAGAGAGAGAGAGAGAGAGAGAGAGAGAGAGAGTAAGAAATAACCGAAAAGGAAAAAATTAGAATAGGAAGAAGAAAAAGGAGACAAGGTAAAAAAAGAGAGAATAAAAAGAAATAGAAGAGAGATAAGGGACTTAAAAACGGCCCTAAAAATGAACGAAAAAAAATAACGACGAGATTAGGGGAAAATTAAGAATGATGAGAAAGAAAAAACAAGAATGAGAAATTAAGAACGAAAGAAAAAAATAAATAATATCAAAAAAATAAGGAAAAGAAAAATTAAGAAAAAGAATATGAAAAAACTATGAGAAAAATTGAGAATGAAGAAGAAGAAGAAGAAGAAGAAGAAGAAGAAGAAGAAGAAAAAGAAGAAGAAGAAGAAGAAGAAGAAGAAGAAGAAGAAGGAGAAGAAATCGTACGGGGAAGAGACATAAACAGATGAGTAAAGAAAGGGAAAGGAAGAAAGAAAGGGGCAAAGAATATGGAAAAACGAAAGGAAGGATCTATTTCTGGTTTTGACAGTCAAAGCTCAGAACTAAAAACGGTATTTTATCGATTTCTTTCTTCTCATTATGTCGGCTTTCTCCCCACCCTGATTAAGTACCCACCAAGGGAGCTCGTCAGGATATCAAGGAAGGACCTTCACCAACGGGAATAACAGAAGGAAGAAGAAAGAGTCAAAATGACGACACTGACGACGATGGAGAAAAGGGTAAAAAGTGGTTTCTATGATTGATTAGTTTCTAACTTGACATCTGATTGGCTGCCGTACGCTTTCAATTGACGTCATAGTGTGACGTCAATTCTCTATACCCTTAGACCCTAACAACGTTCGGACAACACTCTTTCGTTTATTCTAGTTTTTATTCATATTTCTTCACTTTTCTCCTAGTCTCTCCTTTTTTCTTTGTTTTTCCTTTTTCGTTGCCCGATTTATCTTTATTCAGTCTTCAATTTCTTTCCCATTTTTTCTTGCTCTTTTTCTTCATTTTAGTTAAGTTTCCCTACCTTCTTTCTTTCTTCCTTTTTTTCCCCTTCATTCTCTTTTCTTCCTTTATTTTTTTTATAACCAACTGTCATTATTTCATTCACTCATTTCGTCTCTGTTCGTTTGCTTGTTGGTTCGTTTTTTTTTCTTTTTTCTTTTCTCCTTTATTTTTTCATTTCTTTATTTACTTTGTGTTCCTTTTTTTTATTCACTTACTTTTAACTTCGTTTTCTTTTCTTTCTCATTTTTCTTTCTCTTATGATTCGTTCCTTTCTTTCCAACTGTCCGGAACGTTGGAAAGAAAGAAAGAAAGAAAGAAAGAAAGAAAGAAAGAAAGAAAGAAAGAAAGAAAGAAAGAAATGACTAACAGACAAAATAAAGGAAGTCCTTTATTTTGTCGCTTAGTTCTTTCTTTCTTTCTTTCTTTCTTTCTTTCTTTCTTTCTTTCTTTCTTTCTTTCTTTCCAGCGTTCCCTACTTGTTCCTCCTTCATATTCCCTTCTTCCGCTCTCTCCCTCTTTAGCGGTCCCTATTTGTTCCTCCTTCATACACCCTTTTTACTCACTTCCTTTACTTCTTCGACCATTGCCTTTATTTTCATTTCCATCTACTTACACTCAACCCGTTTGCAACTCTACCTTTCCTGTCCCTTTTCCGCCTTCTTTCATTCATTCACCATTTACTCGATCCAAGCCCCCTCCTTCCTGCACTTTGTACAGCCTTTCACTTTCACCCTGAACTCCTACCATTTTCGTTTGTCCTTTTCTCTCGTCGCATAAGCTGCATACAATGCGCACTTTAAGCATGCGCAACTGCCAATTTCCGGGCGAGCTTCTGCCATCAACACTCAGCCGATGCAGGGCTTCCATATTTAGTCCTTCTTATAGGCAGAAATTGCTGACGGCAAATGCAATAGTGAGGGAAAGGGACGGAGAGGACGAATAAAGAGGGTCATGACAACTGCATATATATATATATATATATATATATATATATATATATATATATGTGTGTGTGTATATATATATATATATATATTTGTATGCATATATATATATATATATACATATATATATATATATATATTGTATATATATATATATATATACATACATATATATATATATATATATATATATATATATATATATATATATATATATTGTTGTATTTTAGTTCAGAGCAAATAGTAACATCCCGATCTAAAATGTGTAGAAATAGGAATATGAATCCAAGAAACAAAGAAAGGTCAACTGATAAAATAAAAAGCAATTCTGACCTTGCCCATCAACAAGTAAGCTCACATTGGCGAATTTGGGTCTTAAAGTTGAACGGATCAGACTGTACCGCATTAGTCCCCAAGGTTGGGATCATACTTAGACAGGAGTATCGGATTTTCAGCACCAGTTAAGCTTAGTGTAATATATATATATATATATATATATATATATATATATATATATATATATATATATATATATATATATATATATATATATATATATATAAAGTATGTAAATAATAAATAAAAATAAAATATATACTGTTCCTTGTTACTGGTACTGATAATACTTCTTTTTTTAGGTGCCTTCAGAATGATTATGATCATGGCACACCACAACTTCCTAACTTTTGTTCCTCTCCTTAATATCCCTGTTATTCATTTACACACTTTTCTTCGATTTACCTCCCTGTGTTGGACGAAACATAATTAATAAATATATCTATAAAATCGTTTTTAGTGGTCTGCTTGAAGGTTTATTCTCAGTGACTAAGAACGCGAGATTTACTTTAACCTCCATCCCAACTGAGTCAGGTTGTGACGCAAGGTCGGTTTTTAACGTCGGGACCCGAGTGATTCCATTCAGGCCGCTGGTCATAGCTTGTCTGAGCTAGTCATATCACCGCTACGTAACCAATGTTACGCAATGGTGTGAAAGGAGAAGAGAAAACCTTCGGAACGGAACAGATACTACAACCGCAGCATTTACCTTCTCTTCCTCTGCCAATCCTTCCGCAAGAATCTGTGGGGAGAGCCCCAGTGACTAAGAACCCAGTGTTAAAGTAAATGTAAATTGAATATTAACCAATTAGTTACCCATTTTATAGATAATATTACCTCCCTATGTATAAACCTGGACGAAACAAATAAATTAATCCGGAAATTTATAATCTAAAATAAAAGTTACAAATTTTTAATGTCGTTTGTAAAAAAAAGTTTCCACATGTATTAATCTCCCCGATTATGGCCGTGCCTTAGCAATAAAACAGAACACAAATGTATTAATCTCCCCGATTATGGCCGTGCCTTAACAATAAAACAGAACACAAATGTATTAACCTCCCCGATTATGACCTGGCCTGAGCAATAAAACAGAACACAAATGTATTAACCTCCCCGATTATGGTTGTGACAGAACACAAATGTATTAATCTCCCCGATTATGGCCGTTTAACGAACACAAATGGAACCTCCCCTGATCATGGTCGTGCCTTTACAATTCCCCCGATTATGGCAGGCCAGAACACAAATGTATTAACCTCCCCGATTATGGTCGTGCCTTAGCAATGAAACAGAACACAAATGTATTAACCTCCCCGATTATGGTCGTGCCTTAACAATAAAACAGAACACAAATGTATTAACCTCCCCGATTATGGTTGCCTTACAGAACACAAATGTATTAATCTCCCCTGATTATGGTGGTGCCTTAGGAAACAGAACACAAATGTATTAATCTCCCCGATTATGGTCGTGCCTTAACAATAAAACAGAACACAAATGTATTCGGGCCGTGCCTTTAGCAATGAAACAGAACACAAAATGTATTAATCTCCCCCGATTATGGTACCTTAACAATAAAACAGAACACAAATTACACCCCTGATTATGGGTAAAAAAAAACAGAACTTCCTCCCCGATTATGACCTGCTGCCACAAAAATCCTCCCCGATTATGGCCCGTGCCTTAACAATAAAACAGAACACAAATCCTCCCGTTATGGGCCTGAGAATAAAACAGAACACAAATGTAAATCTCCCCGATTATGGCCGTGTTAACAATAAAACAGAACACAAATGTATTAACCTCCCCGAATGACCTTAAGCAATAAAACAGAACACAAATGTATTAACCCCCCGATTTAACAATAAAACAGAACACAAATGTATTAATCCCTGATTATGGCCGTGAACAATAAAACAGAACACAAATGTATTAATCTCCTGATTTATAACAATAAAAACAGAACACAAAATTTATTAACCTCCCCGAATGACCTGGCCTGAGCAATAAAACAGAACACAAATGTATTAACTCTCCCCGATTATGGCCGTCTTAACAATAAAACAGAACACAAATGTATTTTTATGGCCGTTTTAACAATTGAACAAAATGTATTAATCTCCCCGATTATGGCGTGCCTTAACAATAAAACAGAACACAAATTATTAACCTCGATTATGGCCGTGCCTTAACAATAAAACAGAACACAAATGTATTAACCTCCCCGATTATGGCCGTGCCTTAACAATAAAACAGAACACAAATGTATTAACCTCCCCGATTATGGCCGTGCCTTAACAATAAAACAGAACACAAATGTATTAATCTCCCCGATTATGGCCGTTAATCTCCAGAACACAAATGTATTAACCTCCCCGATTATGGCCGTGCCTTAACAATGAAACAGAACACAAATGTATTAACCTCCCCGATTATGGTCGTGGCTTAACAATAAAACAGAACACAAATGTATTAATAAAATTATGGCCGTATTAACAATAAAACAGAACACAAATGTATTAACCCCCCTGATTATGACCTGGCCTGAGCAATAAAACAGAACACAAATGTATTAACCTCCCCGATTATGGCCTGCCCCGATTAACACAAATGTATTAATCCTCCCCGATTATGGCCTGAACAATAAAACAGAACACAAATGTATTAACCTCCCTGATTATGGCCGTGGCCTGAACAATAAAACAGAACACAAATGTATTAATTATGGCCTGGCCCAATAAAACAGAACACAAATGTATTAATCTCCCCGATTATGGCCGTGCCTTAACAATAAAACAGAACACAAATGTATTAACCTCCCCGATTATGGCCGTGCCTTAACAATAAAACAGAACACAAATGTATTAACCTCCCCGATTATGGTCGTGCCTTAACAATAAAACAGAACACAAATGTATTAACAATGGCCGTGCCTTAACAATGAAAATTATGGCTGCAGCCTTTAACAATAAAACACAAATGTATTAATCCTCCCCGATTATGGCCGTGCCTTAACAATAAAACAGAACACAAATGTATTAACCTCCCCGATTATGGTCTGGCCTGAACAATAAAACAGAACAAAATGTATTAACATTATGGCCGTGCCTTAACAATGAAAACAGAACACAAATGTATTAACCTCCCCGATTATGGTCGTGCCTTAACAATAAAACAGAACACAAATGTATTAACCTCCCCGATTATGGCCAAACAATAAAACAGAACACAAATGTATTAATCCTCCCCGATTATGGCCGTGCCTTAACAATAAAAACAGAACACAAATGTATTAATCTCCCCGATTATGGCCGTGCCTTAACAATAAAACATTATGGTCAGAACAATAAAATGAACACAAATGTATTAACCTCCCCGATTATGGCCGTACCTTATGTAACACAAATGTATTAATCTCCCCGATTATGGCCGTACCTTAACAATAAAACAGAACACAAATGTATTAACCTCCCCCGATTATGGTCTCTCAATAAAACAGAACACAAATTATTAACCTCCCCGGTATGGTCGTGCCTTAGCAATAAAACAGAACACAAATGTATTAATCTCTCCGATTATGGTCGTGCCTTAGCAATAAAACAGAACACAAATGTATTAATCTCTCCGATTATGGCCGTGCCTGAGCAATAAAACAGAACACTAATGTATTAAAATTATGGTCGTGCCTTAACAAATACAAATGTATTCTCTTCATGGTCGTTACCTAGCAATGAAACAGAACACAAATGTATTAACCTCCCCGATTATGGTCGTGTTAACAATAAAACAGAACACAAATTATTAACCTCCCTGTTATGGTCGTTTTAACAATAAAACAGAACACAAATGTATTAACCTCCCCGATTATGGCCGTGCCTTAACAATAAAACAGAACACAAATGTATTAACCTCCCCGAAAACTCTCAATAAAACAGAACACAAATGTATTAACTCCCCGATTATGGCCGTGCCTTAACAATCAGAACACAAATGTATTATCTATCTTTATGGTCATTAATGAACACAAATGTATTAATTCCATTATGGTCTATTAACAATAAAACAGAACACAAATTATTAACCTCCATCTTCTTCTATAAAACAGAACACAAATGTATTAACTCCCCTGATTATGGTTTGTTTAATCTCCCGATTATGGTCCCTGTTCTTCCAGTTCTATTAACAATAAAACAGAACACAAATTATTAACCTATTATGGTATCCTTAACATCATCTATTTTAACTGTGTCCCATCAAGAAAACAGAACACAAATGAACATTATGGTCTGCCTTAGCAATGAAACAGAACACAAATACTTCCCCCGATCCAGAACACAAATGTATTAACTCTTATTAAGGTCGTTTGTATTCTCGTTATCCTTCCAAATTTCTGTCCTGCCATCTGTTTAATAAAAAAACACAAATGTATTAACCTCCCCGATTATGGCCTACTTTCCTCCCCGATTATGGCCGTTCTTTCCTTGTATTAATCTC